TAATGCCGGATTCCCGGTTTACCTGAGCATGCACGGTTACTAACGTTAAAACAAGAAGCCGGCCGGCGCCGCGGCTCACTAGGCTAATCCTCCGCCTTGCGGCGCCGGCACACCGGGTTCTAGTCCCGGTCGGGGCGCCGGATTCTCTCCCAGTTGCCCCTCTTCCAGGCCAGCTCTCTGCTGTGGCCCGGGAGTGCAGTGGAGGATGGCCCAAGTGCTTGGGCCCTGCACCCCATGGGAGACCAGGAGAAGCACCTGGCTCCTGCCATCGGATCAGCGTGGTGTGCCAGCCGCAGCATGCCGGCCGCAGCGCGCCGGCCGCGCCGGCCTTTGGAGGGTGAACCAACTGCAAAGGAAGACCTTTCTCTCTGTCTCTCTCACTGTCCACTCTGTCTGTCAAAAAATAAAATAAAATAAAAAAACAAGAAGCCTTTCCTGAGCGTTTACCACGTGCCAGGAGCTATGCCGGGGCCCGAGTGGGGTGCAGAGGTGACTGGGGCCCCCCAGCACCCCTGTGGGCGGGAGCGCCCAGGGTGGGGGCAGCAGGCTGGAGCAGAGCTGGGAGGAGGTTTACCACTGTGCTGCTGGGAGCTGCGGTCTCCGGGGATCACCACAAGAGGACGAGTCTGGCTTTGCTACTACCGGGTTTTTAAATTCTCTGTGTACAAGGCACTCCTTGTCTCTACCATTGCCCCAGTCGTAGAGAAACGAGGTCCCGGCATCTTCAGAAACCTGCTGGGGGCTTCTGCGGCCCACAGCCCTCTGACTGGGTCCCTGGTGCTTTCTTGCAGTTTTACCACCGCGTAGGCGTTTGTGTCGTTTACCTTGACTTCCCATGCACATTAGCAGGGAGCTGGATTGGAAGCAGAAGTGGAGCATCCGGGACACAAACCTGCACCCACATGGGATGCCGGCACGGGGAGCGGTGGCTTCACCCGCTGCACCACGATGCCGGCTGGGTGCGTGTGTGTTGAAGCTGACCAAGGGAAGGCAACGTGTCTTCCCAAAGAGGCTGTGAAAGGCCCCCCCCCGCCGCCGCCGCCGAATTCTCACTCCCCCCCCCCCGCCCCCGCCTCACCACTCTCATCCTGCTTCACTCCTGAGGCGTAGAAGATGCTGGTTCGCTATCTAAACTCACACCTCCCTAGCTCCCCCTTGGCTTCAGCGTCTTCTCCACGCCTGCAAGCCGCGTGACTAGTCCGCTGTGTCTCTTGCCATTTTTCTGTCGGGTCGTTTGCCTCTTTCTGGTTCAAATGCGGCTGTCTTTCAATGCAGCCAAATGTAGCAGTCCTACGCTTTATGGTTCCTATTCTCCCTCTCATGTGAGATCAAAAGATATTTTTCTATATCATTCTCTGAAAGCCTGGCAGGTTTTGCTTTTTTTTTCCTTTTCATCTTTAACCCTTCTGACATTGACACCTGAGTGTGCTGGGAGTTAGGATCCAATTCCATTTTACTTCTCACTGTGGCGAGCTAGTGCTATTTATTGAAGAATCTACGCTTTTCATGTGAACCTCTGAGACCGTCTGAAAAAAACAGATTTCTGCAGACCGTGGGTATCTTTCTATTCCTGTGCTCTGTTTTTCCTTCTTCTACTCCAGGAATCCACTGCCTTCATGACCAAAGCTGTGTAAGAAGTCTTGATACCTCGTAGGGCAAGTCCTTCTGAACCCTTGCTTTTCCATGGACAGGTTGGAATTTTATTGCCAAATTCCTTTCAGATTTTGATTAGAGTTCCATTAAATCTGCAGGTCAGTTTGGGGTAGAATTGGCATCTTTATAATACTGAGTCTCCCTCTCTAAAACATGGGATAGCTCTGCTTAGTTGTCTTCTTACATGTATTTTTTAAAAAGATTTATTTTATTTATTTGAGAGACAGAGTTGCAGAGAGAGAGAGAGAGAGAGGAAGAGAGAGATCTTTCATCCACTGGGTCACTCTCCAAATGGCCGCAGCAGTTGGAGCTAGGCTGATCCGAAGCCAGAAGCCAGGAGCCAGGAGCCTCTCCCGGGTCTTCCATGAGGATGCAGGGGCCCAAGTACTTGGCCCATCCTCTGCTGCTCTCCCAGGCACATTGGCAGGGAGCTGGATCAGAAGTGAAGCAGCCTGGACTCAAACCAGCGCCCATGTGGGATGCCAGCACTGCAGGCCAGGGCTTTAACCCACTGCACCACAGCACCGGGGGCTTAAATGTATTTTAATACAATTTTATAATTTTCTTCTTAAAGATCTAACATTTCTTTTATTAAACATATTTCTAGATATTTTAGTTTTGATTGCTCTTGTAAGTTGCACCCTTTGTAAAAGTCGCATTCTCTTCCTGACTGTGGCTGGTGTGTGGGTGGTCCTGCTCTCCGTATGTGGGTGTTGTGCACAGCACGGGAGCCCACGTGCCGGTGGAGATGCTTACCCAGCCAGTGCTCCGTGGATCTGGGGCACCAGCGTCTGCTCGTCCATACATGGGCTGGGAGGCTCCCTCTTCCCATTCCTGAAAGAGTTGTGTCCAGAGGATGTCTCTGTTCCTTGAACATTTGGTCGCAGCCACCAGGAAGGCCGGCTTGGCCCCGGGCTGTGTTTGAGGGTGATTTGTAGCTGCTGATGCAGGGTCTGGTAGCCACAGGACCACGGAGTCTTCTTTCTCCTTAAGTAGGCCGAGCCAAAACTCTGCGTCATCCCCGCCCTCCTCCCCTGCTGGCTCTGAGCGTGCCAGGAGGCAGCGGTACAGCGAGCTCTGGGTCTGTGCAGAACTCAGCATCTCTGTGTCCCACATTAAGAGTCCCTGTTTGAGAGGAAACCAGGGAGGTGGCTGCCATCTCCTCCTTCCATCTGTCGCTTCCCAAGCAGTCTGAGAGGGTGGGGTCAGACCCCATAGAGCCGGCTGGGGCGGACCCACACTGCTGTAGGTGCAGGGCCCATGAATAGACGCCGGGAAACCCTGACCCTACAGAGCCACCACCCTCACCTCCTCCCAGAGGAATCCACAGACGCCCAAAGGGGTCCCTGGGGGACCCGGGCCCAGGAAACCAGCTCCCTCCACTCCTCCCTCCCTCTTCCTCTGCCCTGCCCCGCACCTGCACTGCAGGCGATGACGGCCTCAGAGTGACTGTCCCCTGGCTGTCACGTGGGACAGCAACAGGGCCCTTGGCTCCAGGGCCCCAGGTTGCTGGGTCTGGAGGGAACAGGAGGGGCCCGGGCTGCAGCAGCAGGGGCCGTCCGGAACGGCGACGGCGAGGAGGCAATGCACGCCCGAGGCACCTACCCCACCAGCAGAGGATGCGGCTACAGGTGCCCGGGGCCCCCTCCTCCTGGCCCTGCCCCCACCTGGTGTGGGGTTGAGGGGCATTCCTGATTGACAAGTGCTCTTTGTGCTCAGTCCACTCCCCTTTCCTGGCAGTGATGCCCATTTCCTGGCAGCCGGAACCCGAGCCAAGAGAGAATGGCCAGCCCCCTTTGACCAGATACGCTGCCGACGGCCCACTGGGCCTCACCTTGTTTTGCTCAGGGTGGGGGCGAGGAAGGGGCACACAAACGCTCCTGTCACTCCTCTGTGCCCCCCCCACACACATGGCAGAGGACATCGTGGGAGCTTAGGATGGCCCTAGCCCCACCCACTCCCACGTCCAGGGCGCTCGCGCCGTTCCCAGCTGTCTCCCAGGCCAATAATAAATCAAATCCAATCAAAGGCTTTGCAGGACCCCTCCCAGTTCTCCCTGCTCAGCTCCTCATTCCTTGGAGGCCACACTCCAAGAATGGACACTAAAGGGGGCCGCCAGAGAGGGAGAATCTGGGACCAGGGAGATGCCTGCCACGCGGCTTGCCGTGGCCTCCCTGCAGCAGAGCCGCTGGGAGCTGAGGAGCCGGACCCCAGCCCAGGGGGGCCTTGTTTCCCCTGAGCTCTTCCTGTGTCTCACACAGAGCTCCTGTGGCCTTTTTTGGCGTCTGTGGGGGAGTCTCCACCCATCCATGTTTAAAGTGGCTCTCGGTACACCTGCTGCACCCACGGCACCCTCACTCCCCCACCTCACGTGGTGGGGACCCGGCCCTGTAACATGAGTGACACAAGGCTCCGCACTCACCATCTGGGATCCTGAAGGTCAAGGGTACAGAAAGCACGTCACCTGCCACCTTCCTCCCCCGCCCCATCCCCCAGACCCAAAGGCGACCCAGGGTACAGGAGAGGTCACTAGGCCTTTACCCCTGCCTGCCTGGTGGCCATGGGCCAGCTACTCTCATCCCAAGACCTCAGGGTCCCCTGTGCAGGGGACCCTGGCCTGGCCAGCCACCGCCAACCTCTGGGAGCCCCTTTGCAGAGAAGGAACCAGGGAAGGCCAAATCCTGAGCTTGCTGTCACGTGTCCCCACGCTGCCAGCCAGAGGCCCCTTTTGATTGATTGTGGGGCTGCTCTAAGGCTCTCTCCTCCAGTAGACCCCACCCAGGGATGCAAGCATGTGCACACGCACACATGTGCACACATGGACACACATGTACACACATATGTGTGTGCACACAGATGCGTACATACACACATGCACACATGCACATGCATTTACAGTACACACGTGTACAGGCATGCACTCACAGTACACACATGCACACACGTGCACACTTATGTATATGCACATGTGCACACACACATTCAGATGCACACACACACACATACACACGGACACACACATACACAGGGGCCTTGACCTTTCTTGGCCCAACACAGGAGCCTGCGACAGTGTGGGGCAGCGAGGTGCCTGACGTCGCCCTTCTCAGCACGGTCATCTCTACGGATCGCTCAGGCCGGTCGCTGCACCGGCTGACCCCAGAGCCCTTTCTTGTCCTCCTGAACACCTTGCGCCACCTTGGCAGTGACACCACAAAGCCAAAGCCTGCCGGCGGCACAACCTGACGCCGGGCTGTGCCCCACAGCCTCCCTGGCGTGGCTCGGAGGTCATGGCCTTGGCAAGAGGCCGGGCCTCCCCTGCTCACCCCCAGCACAGCGGGGCCCCAAACGCCTGGAGACAGCCTCTTCCTAATCCCTTAATCCAGTGGTGGGAGCCATCTTCTATTAAGGGACGGTGACTTCAGTGGAAAAACCAAATCATGCGAGTCACATCATTGTGCAAAATCGCTTCATTTACGTGCGGACGCTGCTGCGGGCTCTTTAATCAAGAGAGCGGCAGAAACCATTCCGACGCCTGACCGTGAACGCAAGGCTCAGCGGCCCAAAATAAGCGTGATCGATTCAGTCTTTAGAGACCGTCTAACAAGTCTGGGGCAGCTGGGGAGCTGTGGCTTGAAAGATGGTGAAGGAAAGACAGGGCGAGGAATGGTGGAGAGAGAGAGAGAGAGAGAGAGAGAGAGAGAGAGAGAGAGAGAGGAAAGGGGGGGCAGTGGGAGGAAGAGGAGGAAGCGGAGAGCGCAGATTTCGGGTGCCTGCGCTGGTCACAGAGCTGCCTCTTCCCGTTACAGCCTTCAATCTTCCCAAGAACTCTCAAAGTTAGGTGTTTTGCAGACAAGGAAAGTCAGACTTGGAAAGTTGTCCAAGGGGGTCGATGCTGTGGCGTAGTCCGTTAAGTCTCTGCCTGCAGCACCGGCATCCCATATGGGCGCTGGTTCAAGTCCCAGCTGCTCCACTTCTGATCCAGCTCCCTGCTGATGGCCTGGGAAAGCAGTGGAAGATGGCCCAAGTGCTTGGGCCCTGCCACTCACATGGGAGACTCAGAAGAAGATCCTGGCTTCAGCCTGGCTCCTCCCCGAGTAGTTGGAGTCATTTAGGGAGTGCACCAGTGGATGGAAGACCTCTTTCTCTGTCTTTCAAATAAATAAAAATAAATCTTAAAAAAAAAAAAAAAAAGAGGGGCCGGCGCTGTGATGTAGTGGGTTAACGACCTGGCCTAAAGCGCCAGCATCCCATATGGGCCCCGGTTCTAGTCCCGGCTGCTCCACTTCTGATCTAGCTCTCTGCTATGGCCTGGGAAAGCAGTGAAAGATGGCTCAAGTCCTTGGGCCCCTGCACCCACATGGGAGACCCAGAGGAGGCTCCTGGCTCCTGGCTTTGGATCGGCACAGCTCCGGCCGTTGTGGCCATCTGGGGAATGAACCAGCAGATGGAAGACCTCTCTTTCTGTCTCTACCTCTCTCTGTAACTCTTTCAAATAAATAAAATAAATCTTAAAAAAAAAGAAGAAGAAAAGAAAAGAAAGCTGCCCGAAGTCCCATCTTCGGGGAGCGTCTCCTCGCACTGCCCCCCTCGTTGGCTCCCTGTCCGGCTGGGGATCGTCTGCGTCCATTGCCCGGTTCACCTTAGCCTCCTTCCTTCCTCCCCTTCCCAGCTCGCCCTGTCTTCTCCCAGCCTCCCCAGGTCTCCACGCGACGGCCGGGGGCTCGCTCTGCGGCAGGTTCCTGTGTGGACGACCGGGCCCCGTGGCTCCTCCTTCAGGTCTGCCCTGGAGCGCGGCTCCCAGCCCTCCCCAGTCACTCCCCCCCACACTCTGACTTATTTTTATCACGGTGCTTGCCAGGACGTGATGTTTTCCGTGTTGATTCTCTATCCCCCAGGCCGGGAGAGTCCCCATGGGAGCAGGATTCACCGGTCTTGTTTATTGCTACGTCTGCAGCACCAACGCCACTTCTGCACGTAGTAGCTGTTAAAAAGAGGCTTTTGAGGGGCCGGTGCTGTGGTGCAGTGGGTTACAGCCCTGGCCTGCAGTGCCAGCATCCTGTAATGGGCGCTGGTTCGAGTCCTGGCTGCTCCTCTTCCAATCCAGCTCTCTGCTATGGCCTGGGAAAGCAGTAGAGGATGGCCCAAGTCCTTGGGCCCCTGCACCCATGTGGGAGCCCCAGAAGAAGCTCCTGGCTCCTGGCTTGGGATCAGCTCCGCTCCAGCCGTTTCAGTCAACTGGGGAGTGAACCAGTGGATGGAAGACCTCTCTCTCTGACTCTACCTCTCTCTATAGCTATTTCAAATAAATAAAATAAATCTTAAAAAAAAAAAAAGAGGCTTGTAAGTGAACAAGTGAATGAATGGCTCTCTACCCCTTTTAGTCGGAAGCGCATTTTCATGCAGAACCAATAAACCCAGCCGGGGGAGATGGCACTGGCTCAGCAGCTAAGATGCCACTTACGGCTCCGGCATCTCATATCGGAGCACCCACGCCGCAGGCCTGGCTCTGCTCCCAGTCCCAGCTACCAACTGATGCACACCCTGGGAAGCCACAGGCAATGGCCCAAGGACCTGGCTCCCTGCCACCCACATGGGAGACTCTGCGTCTTGGCCTTGGTGGGCCTTTGAAGAGTGAACCGGAGGATGGGAAATGTCTTCCTGTGTCTCTGTCTGTCTGTCTCTGTCTCTCTCTCTGCCTTTCAAGGAAATTAGACAAATAAATCATCGTTTAAGAATCAAGCACTAGGCTGCACTTCCCACACCAGCTCACGTTCCCCCGATGCACCCGTCACCCACACTGGTCCATTGCACAACGCTCGGCTGTGCCAGTGGGAGGAGGCGACCAAAATTTGGCTTCAGACTTGAAGCTTCATCTCCTGGAGTTCTAGGGTCTGGGGGTGGGGGGTTGCATGCCCCCAGAATGATGCAGTGCAGGATGAAATAGCAATAAACAGTGAACAGCGACAGGCGAAACGTGTTCAGAGGACGGAGACACCCTCCCTGGCTGGGTGTCGAGAGAATGCTGGATGTTCAGGGCGTCAGCCCAGACACAGGGTGTTGATCGAGAGTTCGGACCTGGCCACCGCCTTGGGCAGTGCCCTGTGAATGAGACACAGGGCCTCGACCTCAGCTTAGGGCCAGGCTGTCCAGGCTGGACCAGGCCCAGGGGAGGAGGGAGGCTGGGGCCAGGTTGTGCAGGTTCTTTGAGCACAGGCACAGGAGACAGCCACGTGGGCACCATGGCCAGGGCTGCAAAGCCGGGGAGCCCCGCGCTGCCCGTGGTGTGGGAGTGGGGCTCGGCTGTGGGCTAGAGGGGGTTAACCTTGCTGTTCTCTGAGGAGCTCATGGGGTCAGAGGCCTCCATGTGCTTCAAGTCCTGTGAAATATAAGCTGATCAACATGCGTGATTTCTCAACGGCAGGAAATGAAGCAACTGTCTGAGACAACACCCCGCCTCGCCTCCATGGAGGGCAGGGCTCCAGGCCGCGGTCTCTCAATCCTGGCTTTAGAAATCAGTTCTCCTGCTATGGAGCCGGCCTGGGGGGAAGGGCCGGAGGCCTGGGGCCTGCGGGAAATGGTGTGGGGGGCAGGGGTTCTGGGGGGGAGATGGGGCTGTATGGGAAACCTGCAGGCTGACTCGGGAGTGCGGGGGCGGGGGAGAGGATCACGGGGTCATCGGAGATCTGGAGCCAGGACATCAGGTCCAGAACAGCCCCCGGCGTCTGCTCTGTTTCTCTCTTTCCCTCGGACGCCCCCAGCTTCCAGGACGTGGGCCTGCAGACAATTCTAGTTCCTTGTCCTGGGGCCATCCCTGTAACTACTTTGTCACACCTGCTACAATGATTGGCTCCTACCGCTGTCTCCTGCATCTGCTGTGGTCCTCAAGGACAAAGGCCGCACTGCCCTGCGGATTCCAGTGCCTGGGCAGGTGCAGCTGGGCCCGCGGGCTCTGCAGTGTTAGGCTGACTGGAGCAGCTGCAGGCTCCCCATCCGCACCTGGTCGGTGGGTGCTGCAGTGTTGCGCACAGCCCCCTGCCCGTGTCTCCTGTGGGACTTCATCTATTCCCCCGGCTTTAGGTAGCATCTTCCTGCTAATGACCCCTGCATTTTCCTATCTCCAGCCCAGAGAGCAGCTGTGCGTTCCAGATACACAGGTGTGCTGGCCCGATTTATTTCAAGGACAGAGCGATGGAGACAGAGAGAGACATCTTCCATCTGCTGATTCACTCTGCAAGAGCCAGGGCTGGACCAGGCAGAAGCCAGGAGCCAGGAACTCCAGCCAGGTCTCCATATGGACAGCAGGGACCTGAGTACTCGGGCCATCATCCGCTGCCTCCCAGGCCATTGGCAGGAAGCTGGATGGGAGAAGGGGGTGGGATCCCATCCCAGGCACTGCAGACGGCTGTGGGTACCCAAGCAGTTGGACCACAATGCCTGTCCCCACTTGCCCTGCTCTGGGTCTGCTCTCTGCAGAGTGGTGAGGGGGACTTCTCAGGACGTGCGCCCCTCCGAGCCCCTGCAGAAGCACACACGGGTTTCTAGCTGCGTGTAGAACAAGACCCCCGCACATGCCCAGACCCTGCCTCTCCCCCCAGCTCAGTCCTCTCTGGCCACTCTGGCCTGTGTGCCTGCTTGCTTCTCTCTTTTAAAAGGACCTCAAGCTCCTTCTCACCTCTGGGATCTGCACGTGGGGTTCCCTGCTAGGCCATCTCTCCCCTTCCTGGGGCTGATCCCGGGGGCCCCAAGGTCAGCTCTCAGAGAGGCCCCCCGGCTACCCCAGCTGCAGCAGGGCCTTCTGCCCCACTCCCCCACCACTCAGCAGAGCCAGGACGGGCCACCCGCCACGGGCTCCACATCGGAGAGGATGGGTGGGGGTGGCCTCCCCGCCGGCCGGCTCCCGGGAACTCTGCTCTTCCCGCACCTAAGTGTCCAGGGATTCACCCAGCACCCGCCTCGCTCCTTCGGCTTCTCAGAACTGCCCACACCAGCACCACCTGGCGGAGTTCCTCTCTCCTGTAAAACCGGCCACAGAGCTGGACACACTCTCCGGCTATGGGGCCCTCGCTGTCCTGTCCCGCATCTCGGTTTAGACTGGAGTCAGTGCAGGGGACAATGGGCAGGATGGAAAATCCACCCCCCAGGAGGGGACGCCTGGGTCCTCACCGGCGTGGGCCTCGGTCTATAGTTAGCTCCTGACTTCCCTCCTTGGCTGGCCTGCTCCCGTTATCTGGGACAGTGCTGATCTCAACTCGGGTCTATTGTCCAACAGCGTCTCTGCATTTCCACCCACCCTGCTGGCTCCGTCCCCTTCTTCTCGCTCCCCCTTCTCCCCAGGAGGCCACCTGTCTCAGCCCCCGCGCTCCCTGTTGAAGGAGCTGGGTCTGGTGGGGCGACCCTGGGCACCCCGCTCCCCCTCCGTCAGGTGGGAACGAGGCCAACAGCTGTGCGCCGGGAAGGGCGTGATGGGTGAGGAGCACTTGGCAGCCCGCGGGTGGGTCCGTGGGGTGAAGCACTTCTTCAGCCAGAAGACTCCTGGGCTCCGGTGGTAACGCAATGCTGTCACCGAGCAGTGAGCGCATGCAATCGATAGGGCTGTAGTGTGACTGCGCTGCTCTCGCTCCGCAGGGGCCCGCAAGGTGAGCCAGGGCACGCCTGCAGGGTGGGGCGCTCCCGCACCAGCACCGCGAGGAAGAGGTGCCCAGCTCCAGTCACTGGGAAAAGGTCAGAGCTTGATGAATAACCAGAGCGCAGGGGCCTGGCCGCAGGCAGCTGGGAGCCGGCCTTTGCCTCTTGGGCTCTGATGCGGAAGCAGAGGGCATCTTGGCCGTGTGCGCTTGTCCCACGTCGGCCTGAGCACCCACTCTGGTCCTATTCCAACACCTTGGCTCAGGCTGTGCTTTGCAGAGGGAGGGCTGGGCCACCTCCAGGACTTGACGCTCAAGGGACGAGTGTGTCCCCAAGGCTGCCTCGTGACCGTCTCTCGGGGGAAGGTGTGTCTTGGTGAATCCGGAGGTCAGAGTGGGGATCAGGAGCTCCACGTGGGAATTCTTCCAGGGCCGGCCTGGGCAGTCCCGCCCTGGGGTTTGCTCTCGTTAGGGGAGCTGGCACCGCTTAGCAGGAGGAAAGTGGCTGTGGGGTGAGTGCTCACGGTCTGTGCCCCCAGCTCTGCCCTGGGCCATGCGAGGGGGTGGGGAGGGAGGGCAGGCTCAAGGCCACGCTCTGCTGTCAGCCACCTGCTCTCTGCTTCCCTGATGTCCATGGAGAAGACAGTCTCTGCTCATTTCCCAGATGGCCGCAATGGCCGGAGCTGCGCCAATCTCAAGCCAGGAGCCTGGAGCTTCTTCCGGGTCTCCCACATGGGTACAGCAGAAGATGGGCCATCTTCTACTGTTTTCCCAGGCCATAGCAGAGGGCTAGATCAGAAGTGGAGCAGCCGGCGCCGCGGCTCACTAGGCTAATCCTCCACCTGCAGTGCCGGCACCCCGGGATCTAGTTCCGGTCGGGGCACCAGATTCTGTCCTGGTTACCCCTCTTCCAGTCCAGCTCTCTGCTGTGGCCAGGGAGTGCAGCGGAGGATGGCCCAAGTGCTTGGGCCCTGCACCCCATGGGAGACCAGGAGAAGCACCTGGCTCCTGGCTTCGGATCAGCGTGGTGCGCCGGCTGCAGCAGCCATTTGGGGCGGTGAACCAACAGCAAAGGAAGACCTTTCTCTCTGTCTCTCTTACTGTCCACTCCACCTGTCAAAAAAATAAAAAATAAAATAAAATAAATAAAAAGAAGTGGAGCAGCTGGGACTCAAACAAGCGCCCCAGGCGGAGGCTCAGCCTGCTACACCACATGTTGGTGCCTTAACCGCTTTCTTGACAGCTACGCCAAAGGCCCACGCCTGGATAATTTATGAAGAGTAACAGTCTATTCAGCTCACGGTTCTGGAACCTGAGAGGTGCAGAGTCAGGTGCATCTGGCGAGACCCTTACGGCTGGTGACACCCCTGGTGTGGCACGGGGTCACGTGGTGCGAGAGCGCACGCTCACTAACTTGAGGCTGTTCTTATAAAGCCTCTAAGGCCATCGGGGGGCAGTGCCCCCCACCCTGGCCTCCCAAAGGCTCCACCCCAAACCCTGGTAACACACCAAAGATGAAAGGAAACAGATCGGCTTCTCTCTAACTTCTCTAGATAATTAAATGACTCAAAAGTGACATCTTCGGAAATGTTAACCTCAGGTTGCAAAGAGGCAGCATGTCGCTATCGTAAGGGACAGGGACGTTTAAAGGGAGATTGCTCCGCCCAACTCAGAGGGAAAATCTCCAGATGCTCGGATTTTCAAACAAAAATGCTTCCCCCCAGACCCAGTGGTGCTTAATTAGGTCTTAACTGATGGCCTTTATGTTTCTTTTCTAATTTACTTATTTGTTTGAAAGGCAGAGTGACAGCGACAGCGGGAGAGGGAGAGAGGTCTTCCATCCGCTGGTTCACTCCCCAAATGGCCAGAGCAGCCAGGGCTGGGTCAGCCTGAAGCCAGGAGCCAGGAGCTCCATCCGGGTCTCCCACCTGGGTGGCAGGGCCCAAGTCCTTGGGCCACCTTCTGCGGCGTTCCCAGCTGCATTATCAGGGAGCAGAGTGCCCAGGACCCGGATGCTCCGGTGATGGACGCCAGCGTCACAAGGGCAGCTTGGCTCCCTGCGCAATGACGCGGGTCCCTGCCTGGCCTGCCGGATGCCACAGAGCTTGTTTCAACCTCAGACTCAGCTTCTTCCCAGTTGCTCCTTAACTCAGACAGGAGGTGAGGACATTGCCTAATCAATACAAAAAAAATTTTTTTGAGCAAACAAATTGATATAGTTTACCAACTTCTGGAAGAAATTTGTATCCCAGATTATCAAATGTTTTCAAATCCAATAGAATGAGCTCCTGCTCCGAATGTCTTCCTTCTGAATGCAGTATTGTCCTGTAAGTCATTGCAAACATGTGGAAAATTCAGAGTACTGAAACATTTGTCCACGTTCTGCTTCAAAAAAAAAAAAAAAAAAGCTGTTTTATTTATTTGAAAGTCAGAGTTACAGACAGAGAGGGAGAAACAGAAGTAGAGAGATAGAGCGAAATCGTCCAGCCTCTGGTTCACTCCCTAGATGGCCACAGGGCCAGGACTGGGCCACGCTGAAGCCAGGAGCCAGGAGCTTCTTCCGGGTCTCCCACGTGGGTGCAGGGGCCCAGCACTTGGGCCATTTTCCACTGCTTTCCCAGGCACATCAGGAGGGAGCTGGTTGGGAAGTGGAGCAGCCAGGACCCGAACCGGCGCCCATATGGGCTGCCGGCACTGCAGGTGGCGGCTTTACCCACTAGGCCACAACGCCGGCCCATTTGTCCACTTTCATGATTCAAATCTGTTGACATGGAATTTTTTTGCTAAAACTGTAATTTGGATAAAAAAAGAAAAGCCTCTGATTGAGAGTTTAATTAATGATTTGGTTACCAGGTTACAAAAGAAGAGGCAATACGTGACTGTTGAACAAGTTTAAGGTTTTCATAACTAATACATAATTCTATGAGAAAAAAATTACATAACATTCTAATCAAGATGATTATTTGGAAAAATTAAACTGATTTCATAATTTTGTTTTAAAAACAGCATTATGCTTTTTCCTTGATTTTACGACCATTTTAAAAATAATGTGAGCACGACGTTCTAATTTATGCAAGGCGGCTTTATTTTCTATGAAAAGCTCAATTATTTTGAATTGCCTAATTTCCTCTACTGTTTTTGCTTGTCAGATAAACAAACACTAATTTGTTTGAGAGTGTGAAATCATAAGATATATGAATGATAATAACTGATGTTTTCATAAAAATTATTTTTATGATGCTAAAAATCACACAGACTTAATGTGCCAACTTGAAGTGTAATTGCCAAATCTTTAGTCAACTTTAAGACCTTAAGCTAACATTAATTTGAGTGAATAATAAATAATCTTTGAATACTTGAACTACATGATTTTAAAGTGCCCCTGCTGCGGGCTGGTGTTTGGAGTGTTGATTACACAGCCGCCCCGGGGTGCCCACATCCCATGCTGGGCTGCCAGCTCCATGTTCAGGCTTCCAGTCCAGCTTCCTACTAACGCGCGCCCTGGAAGGCAGCGGTGATGGCCCCAGCCTGGGCCCCTGCCACCCACGTGGGAGACCAGGATTGAGTTCCTGGCTCCTGGCTTTGGCCTGGCCCGGCACTGGCTGTTGTAGGCGACTGGGGGGTAAACCACAGGTTGAGAGTTGCCTGTCTGTGTAGCTCTCTCTCTGTCGAATAAAATGAAAAATAAATAAGTAAGATAACTTACATGAACATTTATAATGCCCCGTTGCTGTTTAACGGAGGACAGCATAGCCGCTGGGCGCAGGTTGAAGAGCTTGTAGTCTCCTGTGGGTTTTGTTCAAGCATGGCTGAAGGTTTTAAAGAATGACGCAAAGTGTCCATGACAATGGAGAAACACATACGCTAGATAAGTGATGTTTTGTTGTAGGGAAGGAAAGAGTAAATTTACCTTAAATTAAAAACATTTCTTGGTATGCCAAAACCTAAAAGAAGGTATTGCAAGCAAAAGACAAACTTGGAGCCAGCTTTGTATACAGCGGGTTAAGCTACCACCTGCAATGCTTGCACCCCACGTAGGCATTGGTTTGAGTCCTGGCTGCTCCACTTCCAATCCAGCTCCCTGCTAACGAGCCTGGGAGAGTGGCGGAGGATGGACCAAGGACTTGTGTCCCTGCACCCATGTAGGAGACCTGGAAGAAGCTCCTGGCTTCAGCTGGGCTCAGCCCTGGCCACTGTGGCCATTAGGGGAGTAACTCAGCAGATGAGGATCGATCTTTCTCTCTCTCTCCTTCTCTCTCTATTTCTGCCTTTCAAATAAATAAAAATAAATCGTTTTAAAAAGAAGACAAAATGAAGTGTGTGCTGTAAGTTTAGATGGTCTGAGAAGAAATAAAGGCTATTTTCGTGGGTTTAAAATAGCTGCAAATAATGAGTCTGAAAGGAGAATGACATGTGTTAAATTGTTTTAATAAAGTCGGCTCGATATAAACGAATTTTTCATTAGGACTGTAATGTCTACTGTGAATCGCTGCGCTGGTGATCTATGCAGAGTCAAACTAGGATTCTGCTTACAGAACCGGGTTAACTCTTCCCAGACAGGAGTCCCTTTGCATCATCAGCACATCCTGTTAATTTTCTAGGCTTTTGGAATATTTTTACACCTTGCCAAGAATGTCCATGTTGGGAATAATTATCATTACTTACTGCTGTGAGCTTTTTAAAATAATGTTTACAACTGTTTCTTGCCTTCAGATAGCTGTATCCTCTCGCACCTCAAATTTTACCTTCTTCAAAATCACACTCCGTATTCAGAAAGGTAGGACTTTAAGATGCCTTTCAGGGCCGGCGCCACAGCTCACTAGGCTAATCCTCTGCCTGTGGCACCGGCACACCAGGTTCTAGTCCTGGTCGGGGCGCTGGGTTCTGTCCTGGTTGCTCCTCTTCCAGTCCAGCTCTCTGCTGTGGCCAGGGAGTGCAGTGGAGGATGGCCCAAGTGCTTGGGCCCTGCACCCCACGGGAGACCAGGAGAAGCACCTGGCTCCTGCCTTCAGATCAGCGCAGTGCGCCAGCTGCAGCGGCCATTGGGGAGTGAACCAACGAAAAAGGAAGACCTTTCTCTCTGTCTCTCTCTCTTACTGTCCACTCTGCCAGTCAAAAATAAAATAAAATAAAAAGATGTCTTTCATAGAAACATATGGATTTTTTTAAAAAAGATTTATTTATTTATTTGAAAGTCAGAGTTATACAAAGAAAGAGAGGCAAAGAGAGAGAGGTCTTCCAGCCACTGGTTCACTCCCCAGATGGCTGCAATGGCCAGAGCTGGGCTGATCTGAAGCCAGGAGACAGAAGCTTCTTCTGAGTCTCCCACACAGGTGCAGGGGCCCAATCACTTGGGCCATCCTCCACTGCTTTCCCAGGCCATAGCAGAGAGCTGGATTGGAAGTGGAGCAGCCGGGACTCCAACCAGTGGCCGTATGGGATGCTGGCACTGCAGGAGGTGGCTTTACCCACTACGCCATAGCACCGGCCCGAAAAAGTATGGATTTTTTTAAAATGTTATGACCATGGGTAATACAAAGATTTATTCCTCTACTTTATAAAGGGGAAATAATAAAAAAAAATTTCAATTTGACCATATCCAAATAATTGACTAGCTCAATTGTAAGAGCCATCCTATTTATTCTTATTTACAATGAAGAAATCTTCAGCTTTGCTAGGTTAAGCACTTAGAAGTAAGGCACATTAACTGGAACATTCCAAGAATTCCAGGTCACTTCTGAAAGATACCTTCTCGTACGCGTGTATAGAGTTGATGTGGAGATCGACAGCGCGTTTGTTTATTTTAGACTTGTCTCCGTGTTTGTGGTGCGTCTCCGCTGGTTACAATCTTCTGCTTGTGCCAGAACGCGGGCCCAGGGGTCTGCTGGTGCCTCACTCTCCCAGCGCACTGCCCCCTGCACCGCGGTGAAAGCCCCCCTCTCCCCGTCCCAGCCGTGAACCTGACCTCTTCACCTTAGCAGACACAGAGGCTAGGTCTCTTTCCTTACAGCTACAAAGGCCCTGCTCCAACTCAAGATTTGGCGCTCACCCGCTGGAGGAGGCGGCAGAGGGACGACAGGAAAGGCCGGAGCTCATGGCTTGACCTGGCAGACTGGACCGAGCGACGCAGACACGGCCTCAGGAGTGGCTTTGGTCCAGGTTCTAGAACAACGCTCAGTAAACTGGCTGTCGGGCAACTGCAGCTCGCTGTCGTGCTTGTCGGGTGGAGTGTTACTGGGGCTCGGTGGGGCTCGCCGGGTGACTACTGTGCGTGGCTGCTTTCCTGCTGTAAGGGCCAAGTTCAGCCAGAGGCTGATCAAAAGCATACACCTGTGAAGAAGAGACTGCGACCCCACGATCAGGGAGCACAAAGAGGAACACATTGTGGTTCATGCCTTGTTCTCATTAACACAAGAGATGGCTTTTCTTTTTATTTCTCATCCTCAGTTTAACAGATTATACCTATACAAACTGGGATAAACTTTTTAAAAATTTTAATGAGATATTTAATAGAACCCAATATATCCACTTGAACATGTAATCAATCTAAAAAAATTAATAACAGGAGGGTATTTGGTATAGTGGTTGAAACACCACTTGGGACACCCACACCCCTCTCACAGCACCTGGGTTCAAGTCCTGGCTCCACTCCTGAGTCCAGCTTCCTGCTCATGTGCACCCTAGGGGGCAGCAGGTGCTGGCTCAAGTCGGGTCCCTGCCAGCCATGTGGGAGACTTAGACTGAGTTCCTGGCTGCTGGCTTCAGCCTGGTTCAGTCCCAGTTATTGGGACTTTGGGGAGTAAATCAATCTCTCTCTCTCTCTCTCTCTCTCTCTGCCTTTCAAATAAATAAAACTTATTTTAAACACTTAATGAGAGCTGTGATTTCCTGTTTTTGTTCTCACACCCAGTGTGTATTTGCACACGTGTAGACACAGCACGCTGAAGCATTTTTCTCTTCTTTTTAAATCGAAAGTGTTTATTTGGAAGGCAGAGAGGCAGAGATCTTCCATCCGCTGGTTCACTCCCCTGACGTCCACACGGCTGCCTTCCAGCAGGGAGATGGATGGCAGGCCGAGGAGCGGGGACTTGAACCAGGTGATGGGATGTGGGTAGCCATGTGGTGCCGCATGTTAAGCTGCTGCCTGCAATGCCGGCATCCAGTATGGGCTCCAGCTCGAGTCCCGGCTGCTCCACTTCTGATTCACTTCCCAGCTAATGTGCCTGGGAAGGCTGCAGTGGACAGAGCTCCTGGCTCCGGGCTCCAGTGAATCGGTGGATGGAAGATATCTTTTTCTCTCCCTCTCTCTCTGTAACTCTGCCTTTAAATAAATAAATCTTTGAAGAAATTTTAAGGGGGGGGGATACAATAACTGATCAATCGATACAGCTTATCTATCTCCAGATGGGATCAATGCTTAGGGTCATGTAGGTTAGTTCCAGAGATTCGGTGAGACGTTGTCCCTTTTCTTACAAGAATAGCACTGGGTATTAGCCATGCCAAACATTTCTCTTTTTTTAAAAAAAAAAGAGTTATTTATTTTTATTTGAAAGCCAGAGTTACACAGATAGAGGAGAGGCAGAAAGAGAGAGAGGTCTTCCATCTGCTGGTTCACTCCCCAATTGAATTGGCCGCATCAGCTGGAACTGCACCGATCTGAAGCCAGGAGCCAGGAGCTTCTCTGGGTCTCCCATGCGGGTGCAGGGGCCCAAGGACTTGGGCCATCTTCCACTGCTATCCCAGGCCATAGCAGAGAGCTGGACCAGAAGTGGGGCAGCTGGGACTCGAACCGGCGCCCATATGGGATGCCGGTGCTTCAGGCCAGGGTGTTAACCCGCTGCACCACAGTGCCGGCCCCCAAACATTTCTTCTAATTAGGTGTGTGCCGAAGAAGAACACGCACCATGACACTGGTTGAAGGGCGGTGACTTAGACTTCCTCAGGCCATCTGGGCACGCAGAGGCATCATGGCACCGGCATCTTGCAGTGAGGCAAAGAGCTTTGGGCTGAACCCCAAATCCAGCACCGGCAAGCGTGACTCACAGCCCAGCAGCAGGCTCAGGATCAGTGCATGGGGATCACCAAGAGGAGATAGCGGGAGTGGGGGCTTCTGACAGAACCGACCAGAAAGGACCCCTGCTGAAGGCAGCCCAGGGCGACCCATGCCCTGGGGACAGGGAAGACGAGGACCGTGACCAGATACTGAGGGTGAGCAGATTTCCAGGTCTGGGGTCTTTGCTAAGGGGACTTAGCCGGCTCCTGGATTTTACAAGGCAGTATACAGAGGAGCGTAGGAGCACACCCAGAAGCTGCTTAAGTGTGGCCGGAGAATCCTGGTCAAACAATAGCTTCCCATTCAGAAAAAAGACGTGGGCTGGTGTGGTGGTGTAACAGGGTAAGCTGCTGCCTGCAGCACCGGCATCCCATATGGGCACCGGTTCTAGTCCCGGCTGCTCCACTTCCGATCCCGCTCTCTGCTATGGCCTGGGAAAGCAGTAGAAGATGGCCCAAGTGCTGGGGCCCCTGCACCCATGTGGGAGACCTGGAAGAAGCTCCTGGCTCCTGGCTTTGGATCAGCCCAGCTCTGGCCGTTGCAGCCATTTGGAGAGTAAACCAGTGGATGGAAGATTCTCTCTCTCTCTCTCTCTCTCTCTCTCTCTCTCTCTCTCTCCCTCCCTCTTTCTCTGTAACTCTGCCTTCCAAATAAATAAATAAATCTTTTTCAAAAAAGACCATACTCATAGCAGGGACACCAGTGAAATCCCGGAGAAAACCTGGCGTGGCTCACGGCTTCTGGAATTCATTTCCCGGCAGCTGGGATATGTTAGCAAATGTGGGAATCTTAGAGAAAATAAGACTAATAAAGACTTCACATCACTGCTTCTCACATCAAAGCAACTCTTGGCCTGTGGGCTTTGCAAAGCCTACAGACCAGAGTTCACGGCAAAGCTTTAATATCTTGTGGCTCTAGTTTTGCTAACTACACCGAAAGAGATTGTCCTTGTATTTGCCAATACCTCTTGTTATGCCAATGGAAATAAAACAAGACACCAATTGAATGGCGCTGGATCAGAAATTCTTAAGCAACTGTACAGTAAAATCCATGACTCAGTGGCAAGAACCAGGCCAAAAGAAAGGGACAGCTGTGGAAGCCGCACCTGACAGTTCGCCCTGCTTCAGTCAGAGCCAAAGACCACTGTGAGGCCGTGACACTTTGCATCTGCAGAAAACCCCAAAATAACTGGTCACCCTGATTCCAAGTTAATACACCTGGGTGCTTTCCCAGAAACATGGACTCCCTGACAACAACAACTCCATCCCTGATCAGTGCTGTGCTGGCCCTGAGGGACGTGGGGACACTGCTGGGGACACTGCTGATTGCCATCATGAATACAGTGACCTTGGCTATCTTTGTCCCCTTTGAATACTTCCTGTGTTTGCTGTTTAATGAGCCAATCTCTCTCTCTCTCTCTCCCCCTCCCCCTCATCCCCTCCCCTTTCCCTTCCCTTTCCCTCTCCCTCTCCCATGTTTAAAGATTGCTTTATTTGAAAGGCAGAGTGACAAAGAGAGGGACAGAGACTGATCACCCATCCACTTGTTTACTCCCCAGTGGCTGCAACAGCAGGGCTGAGCCCGGTGGAAACAAGAAGCCTGGAACTGCATCCAGGTCTCCCACGTGGGTGCAGGGGTCCAAGCACTCGGGCCATCTCCTGCTGCTTTCCCAGGTGCATTAGCAGGGAGCTGGGTCGGAAGTGGAGCAACTAGGACCTGAACCGTTGTCCGTATGGGATGCCAGTGCCACATGTGGCAGCTTTATCTGCTATGCCACAGGGCTGGCCCCGCTCACACACTTTTTTGCCAGACTAACACCTCCCCTCCTACCCCGCCTCCCCGCCGAGACCCCATGTCTTCAGGAGGTGACCCCTGCCACCCACTAAGGCTCCTGACCCTCGAGAGTGCCTCTTGAGCTTCTCACAGCCGTGACCCAGGCCTTGCCCTCTTGTTCCACATACCCCCTCCCTGCACACCGTGGGCTCCATGAGGTCAGGGACCGACTCCCTTCCCACTCCCCTTGGAGTTCTGTCACCAACCTCCCTGCTCCACAGGCGCTGAGTGTGGGAGGCACTGATTCGTCCAGGGAGGCGAGCTCCAGGCACCAGTCTTGAGGTTTGACGGCACCTGCCATGTCAGTTACCCCACAGAGGCACCTCTCGCTGGCTGTTCCCCAGGAGGCAAGGGTGTCGCCGGACAAGAGAAGGGCTGGGCTGGGCTGGGCTGGGCCGGCTAAGGTCTCCTGTAAAGCTGCAAGGCGCAGACACGGGGCCCCACCCTGACGACCTGGTCCAGTTTAATCACTCCCCAAGGCCCCGCCTCTCTGCTATGATTGGACGGAGTTCCTACCACACTGACATCAGTCCTTGGGGACTAAATCCTGAGTTGGGAAGGGGTGTGAGGGACACACGTTCAGGCCACGGCAGCGAATCCAAGGGCCTGAAAAAAGGCACACGTGGGTGGGGTGCAGGTGTGAGAGGCGGCTGGAGGGACTGAGCCTGGGACCCTCGCCAGTCCATGTGCTGTGATGATGTCATTTTGATGACTGTGGAATTAATAAACTAAGTGTGGGCTGGCACGGGACAAGGAGGCGTGGACCAGTCCTAGCTTAGGAGGTGACTTTTAGCAAAGGAAGACAGGGAAGATAGGGGGTGTTTTCTGAACGCCCTGTACTGTGTGAAAATTTTTGCATGCAAACTAGTTTGTAACGGCGCCAGCAGAAATGAGTCTCCCTCTGTGCCCCAAATGCACCAGGGCTGTCATTGCGTCATTGCTGTCAATCATCTCAGGTGCAAAAGGAGGCAGTCACCTTAAAAGGAAGAAGCTGTCACCCTCTAGCACTCAGAGTATGACTCCGGAAACCACTGTGCTTTTTTTTTTTTTTTTTCTATAAGGGATACTTAAGGGGCTGGTGCTGCAGCATCAGCGTCTTGTGTGGACACGCTGGTTTGTGTCCTGGCTGCTCCTCTTCCGATCCAGCTCTCTGCTATGGCCTGGGAAGGCAGTGGAAGATGGCCCAGGTGCTTGGGCCCCTGCACCCACGTAGGGGATCCAGAGGCAGCTCCTGGCTCCTGACTGCGGATTGGCCCGGCTCTGGCCATTTCAACTATTTGGGGAGTGAACCATCAGATGGAAGACCTCTCTCTCTGTCTCTCCTTTCCCTGTCTGAGACTCTACCTCTCAAATAAATAAATAAATCTTTAAAAAAGAAATGATACTTTAAAAGTTTATTCATCTGTTTACATTTAATTTGAAAGACAGAGAGAGAGAGAGATCTTCCATCCACTGGTTCACTCCACAAATGTCTGCAACAGTCGGGGCTGGGCCAGGCTGAGGCAGGAAACTGGCCCCCACCTTGGGTCTCCCCGTGTGTGGCAGGGACCCAGGTACTGGAGCCGTCGTCTGCTGCCTCCCAGGAGTCACAATAGCAGGAAGCCGGGTCGGAACTTGAACCAGGCCCTTGGCACGTGAGCGCCAAGCCACGACTTCACCACTGGGCCAAAACCCCGCCCCTAAATTGCTTAATTAATTAATTAGAGAAGCAGAGAGACAGAGAGGCAGGCGGAGCTCCCACCCACAGGTTCACTCCGCAAGTGCCTAGGCCAAAGCTGGGAGCCGGAAACTCCATCTACCAGGGGCCCAAGCGCTTGAGCCATCGTCGGCTGCCTTCCCAGGGCCGGCGTGAGCAGGGAGCTGCCATCTGGGGCCAGCGGGGCACGGGACCCAGGCACTCCCAGGGGACATGCGTGCATTTTCATCACTGGGCCAAAAGGCCACCCCGACCACTCGTCTTGCAGTGACGGAGATGGATTATCAGCGCTTCAGAGGAAGAGAAAGCAAGAGAGAGCCCTCACGCCGAGAGGGCCGCCGGCCAGCATGGCTGACCCCCACTATTGCCGGCCGTTACTGTCAAATACAAAGCGACCTTGTCCAGAAGCCCGGGGCCTGTATGGCTCTTGGAGTCCTGAACTTTCCTCTCTCTGCCCACTCGCTGTCACAGCCTGCGAAGGGGGCCGTTCTGCATCTCCGGGCTCAGGATTCACAGGCAGGGGCGCCAGGCAGAGCCTCCTTACCAAGTTTTGCTCCCATCCTGAGGACGGCGGGGAGTCCCGGAGGATTGAAAGAGCAGCCGGGCCACTGGGCTTGAGTTTGCAAAGCATCCATGGCAGAGGAGCGCAGATTACGCGTCCTCTGCCGGTCTGCGCCCTGCCCTGGGGGACGTCCTGTGGGCCCCGCTCCGGTACTTTCTCTGCACCTGACGGAGTTCCCGGGCTGCAAGGGACCCCGTCTGCCATTCATGCTGCTGTTTCACAAAGGATTCAAAGCAGCTCTGGGCTCAGAACGCTCTCGGGAACGGCCCCCTCCCCGCCGGCTTCGCCTTTAAATAATCAGAGCATAAACTGCGGAAGGGAAGGGTTGTGGACCCCAAGGGGAGCCCTCAGCTCGGGGTTCTCGGTCCCCCCACCGGGGGCTCTCTGGCTCTTCCCTAGACGCGACCAGCAGGAAGCAGGGAGAAAGTCGGGGGAGGGGAAGTCCAGCAGGGCCGGATAATAACAGCCTTGTTCCCAGGCTTATGTAAGCTGATTGGGCCTGGCCTGCAACCTGGCAGAGGGCTCCGAGGGCTGTAGATGCGAAGGTAGAGGCTGCCAGGGAGGCTGGGAAAGTGCTGGCGAGGAGGAGCGGGGGCCGGGTGCAGGAGGAAGTGGCTCCCAGCCCACCCCGCGGCCGGCTGCCACTTCGGATGCGGCAGGCAGAGCTGGCCCAGGGCTTTCAAAACCCCAGACTTTCTCAATCCTCCCTGCCGGCCTGCACATCAGCCCCGACCTCGTCTCACTCACACCTCCCCTTGACACACAGCGCAGTTCCTGTAACGGGGCTGGGCTGGGCGTGCGGAGGTGGGACGAGACGGGTTTAAAAGGACAGTGCAGGGGCCCCGGGCAGAGGCCGGCCACTCCCCACTCTGCCACTGCCGGGATGGGCCTGACGGTGGCTCAGACAGGTCTCTGATCTGGCCAAGGCCGGTGGGGTTAGGGGTTCTGCACCCTAGGACCAGGCCTCCTGCCGGCTGGGTGGGGGGAGGGGCGGGGAGGCCGGGCCAGGGGAGAAGGGGGACCGGCATTAGAATCCTGCGGGGAGGGGGTGGCAGGTACACAGGCAGGAAGCCCTTGCCCAGTCTTGCTTCCCCTCCAGGCCTGGCGGTCCTGGTGCTGCTGCAGTGCTGTGAGTAATGCCCCTCCCCCCACCCCCACCCACCACACACCTGCAGTCCTGGGAGGCGTGGCGAGGGCACAGGGAAGGTGGGAGGGGTCTGGCGAGGTGGGAGCCCTTGTCCAGGCTCTTCCAGGCCTCCATGCCACGAGTGGGTGTACGTTATCTGTGTCTCCGCTGCTCTGAATATTTGGGTTGGGGCTGTCCAAAATAGCGACTGTAAAAGGCTCGGGTCGGTGAGAGCTTTGCCCAGCAGTGGAGGGAGCGCTAAGGGAGCCCGGCCAGGGGAGACGGCCTGTGCCATAGCAGGGGTTAGGGGTGGAGGAGATGGGGCACTTCCCGGTCTGTCGTGATCCTGCACCCCAGCTCGGGGGAGCTGGAGATTGTGTTCTGAGGCTCCCGTGGGCCAGCTGCGGGCTGAGTTAGGGACACTTCTGATGGAGGAAGGCGAGGGTCAAGTGTCTTGGGCTGTCGTGGGCTGGGTCCCTACTCTCCCTCAAGGCCACCTCCTCCAGGAGGTTTCCTGGCCTTGCACTGAGCCCTCACTTCGCTGGCATCCACACCCCGCGCTCTGCTCCCACACAGTGCCAGGCACGGTCTCCCTCTGTGCCATGCACTTTCTGCATGCGCCGATGACCTGAGCCCCTCTCCGCTCACCCCCGCACCCCAGCTACTCCACGGGCGCTCAGCCCAGAGGCCTCCAGCCCAGGCCCCACCCCTGCCTTCTCCTCAGGTTCTGCCTACAAACTGGTCTGCTACTACACCAACTGGTCGCAGTACCGGGAAGGGGAAGGGCGATGCTTGCCCGATGCCATCAGCCGCTTCCTCTGCACCCACATCATCTACAGCTTTGCCAACATAAGCGACAATGAACTTGACACGTGGGAGTGGAACGACGCCACGCTCTATGGCATGCTGAATGCGCTCAAGACCAGGTGGGGCCCGGGGCCGGCCAGGGTGGGAGGACGGCCTTGCCCAAGGGCGCACAGAACCCGCCTCTGGGCCCAGAGCTGGAGGCCTTGGCTTAAATGGGAGGGGGCAATGACGGTGGGTGTAGGGCAGCATTTGGGGTGCGCTTGGAGGCAGAGGCCCCTGGGAATGGCAGGGCCTCTCCTTCCCACTACGGGAGCCTCTCCAGGGAGCCCTGCCCTGGCTTCCCCACTGTGAAGAACAAAACTGGACAGCGACTGCCACCAAGTGTGGGACCACTTAGGACCCTGAATCCCAGGGCTGCGAGGACCACAGAGGCCTAAGCCAGCCCCTGGCCCAAAGCTAGATCTCTACCTACTGTGGCCTCCCACCATGGGGCCACTTGGTGTCACCTCACTTCACCCCTGCCTTCCCCCCTCCCTGTCCCACAGGAACCCCAACCTGAAGACCCTCCTGTCTGTGGGAGGGTGGAACTTTGGCTCTCAGAGGTAAGAGGGCACAGAGGGGGCTGCAACAGGGGTGAGGCCTGGGTCTCCCCACTCGCTGTAGAGGGGTCCCAGGGGCTCCAGGCAGATTGGGCACAGAGGCCTAAATGGCCGTCAGGGGCCTGCCCCACATACAGCCAAGAAACCAGAGCCCAGAGAGGGAGAGGGCCTTGCCAGGGGGTCACACAGCGTCTTCTGCTCCCCTGCCTATTTTGTTCCCACTGTCTCTCAGACCTCCTCGGGCAGAGCCTGTCCCAGTCCCTCCTCAGCTGCATGGGCTCAGGCTCGCTGCTCCCCAGGCCCTGGAAAGCCCGCCAGAGGGCCGGGCACCTAGAACCCCCGTGCTGGTCACATTACATGGTGCTTTTGGCCCTAGATTTTCCAAAATAGCCTCCAACACCCAGAGCCGCAGGCAGTTCATCAAGTCGGTGCCGCCGTTTCTGCGCGCCCATGGCTTCGACGGGCTGGACCTGGCCTGGCTCTACCCGACGCGGAGAGACCGGTGGCATTTCACCAAGCTCGTCAAGGTGCCAGTCAGAGGGGCGGGGGGAGGCGGGCAGGCATCAGGGATGGGGGTGGGCTAGATGCTGCCTCCTGCGATGGTCTCCTGAGGACAGGCAAAGAGGGGCCACAGCATCCTGGCTGCAGAGCCCTGGGGTGCCCTGCCCTGCAGATCGTACACACGGTGACCACGTTGGGAGGTTGGGGGGTCCCGGTGGGAGAGGCAGAGGGTCGGCACTGACCAAAGGGGCTCATCACTGCCCCCAAGTGGGGTATCCACTGTTCTGTCCCAAACTGATGCCACCTGCTACCCAGCCTGCACCGCATGCAGGGCCCTCCCCCAGCTCACCTGGGGGAAGCCCAAGGGTCGCTGGTGCCCCTGGGGGCAGAGCAATCATCTAAATCATCCCGGGATTTTGAGATCTCACAAGCTGGCTAGAGCAAAGCTCGGACTGAAAGCCAAATGGGCTCCAGCAGCGTCTGGGGCCCGCCGGGATGCCGCGCTGTCCCGCGGGTCCCTCCGGATAGGGAGCATCCGGGAGCTGGTGGCGTGCTTGGGATTGGGGCTGTGCGGTCCAGACGTGTTTTAGGACAAGGACGGTGGCCCTGACGATGAGGCCCCCGATGGGTTACCTTGTCACCTCCACCGAGCCATCAGAGTTGCTGATCACAGCCGTCGGGGGAGGGCGGTGAGGAGCTCAGGGCCTCTCTCGGAAGTCTCCCTTGTGCCTCCCAGGCCGTCTGTGCTCACCTGCCTCCCCCCCCCCCCCCCCCCCAGGAAATGAAGGCCGAATTCGCGAAGGAGGCTCGGGGAGGAGCAGAGCAGCTCCTGCTGAGTGCCGCCGTGTCTGCTGGGAAGGTCGCCCTCGACAGTGGCTATGACATCGCCCAGATTTCCCGGTGGGCAGACAGCGCCCTGCACGCCTCTGCCGACCCCCTCCCCCTGCAGGAGACGAGGCTTCTAGTCCCGGTTCTTCCAGAACCTCGTCCTGTGAGCTGGAACAAGTCGCTTCCCCGCCGTGTGCCTCAGTTTCCCCGTCTGCTGAATGGGGCATAATCAAGCCCGCTGTTCCCTTTCTGCATGGGGTGTCGCTGGCCTGTTGAGAG